TGACATCTTCGACTCGGGCCATTCGTTTTTCGTACGGAATGTGTCGGTCCATCCTCACCATCGCCTGTCAAACAATTTTAAAACGTGGCGTTAGACAAAGTGATACAAAGTTGAAACCCGATTAYAGRAACTAATCTCGTGTAAGTAAATCATAATTCATAGGAGTATTTATGCATTTCGTTTTAGATATTTATTTAAAATAAAACCGTTTATCTGTTATTGTATAGGTATAGAGTTATTAGATTATCATATTTTTGGTCCTGGTGCAGAACTAAATTTGGGCCTAGAATATTTTTCTAATATATATTGATGTAGTTTTGAAATGATTATTTGCATGAACGCCGGCCCCTTGAAAGTCTGGGCCCTAGTAACATGGGTCCTTCTGCCATCCCCCTCCTTGTGGGGGCCCTGGTATTATAATTRCTAAATTTTTGCTGTATACTATAGTGTACACTGTRCAGTGTAGTGACCAGTGSGAGAGAATGGTAAACACGATCTCGACATTTCTGTTTTAAAATAAAAAACTATCATACTAAATTTAATAACAAAATATAGTGCCACCGAAATCCTCTAATTTCTCATTTATAAACGCACTCATACCTATCGGCCGATAACCTTCGATATCGTAGTCTCAAAAGGAGCGTTGAAGGCGTCGAGATCTCTTAAACTAATACAGCTCAAATTAATTGTACAATATTAATTGATAGTGAAGGGTTCTATYAACGAATAGTCTCACCCATCGAGTCATTAGTGTACGCAGGAATTTAATTCGGTTAGTGTTTTACCTAATATTAATCGCAGATCCGTGGTTATTATTTTTTGTTAAACATTTTTTATATAAATTTAGACTATTCGTTGATAGAACCCTTCACTATCAATTAWTATTTTAYAATTAATTTGATCTGTATTAGGTGAAGAGATCTCGACGCCTTCTATTATAATATTAGTCTCGAATTCCGTATTTTAGTTTACGGTTAGAGAATTTAAATTGACCGTCTACCGAGCGTATCTAGGCCATAATACACGTGTTTATAATCGATGATAATCGATGATATGACGATTATAGTAGACGTTTAAATATGTTCTTAATCAGTTGAAAAAAAAACTAAAATTATGATGATGGTTATCGATGTTATTGCCATTTTACAGTTTAATTTATATCTATTAAAAATGACTAACAATTAATCTACCCTGTGGATTGATTATGGTGGTAAATAAGATTTTTTCATAGAAGAAATAAATTTCAAGGAGGCTTAGAACCCTAGAGCTAGAGCCCTACGCCTACCTCTTTTATTATTATACCTACATTCGTGTTTCATCGTGTTCAATTGTTGTGTGGCTAAATAAGTGTTCTAATTATTTAAAACTACAGGAAAACCGGAAGTAGTTTTTTTAAATTAAAATACTGGAATGTTTGCAGAAATTTGATTTCTAACTGAAGCAGCTAAATCGTAGAAATAGACGTTTGCCATTGGTTATCGTCGCGTTGGTWAGCCGCGGTCGCCGACCTCCACCTCGTCGGAATGGGTACGACAAGATTACGAGAGTTAATAAACCGGACAGGTAAGATCCACCACGTGTACACCTAACCGAACCAAGCACCATCATAACCTAACCTAATATACACGGTATACTGCAGTGATCGAACATTCTCCTAGTTACCTATATCATATTAATACGGGTACATATTATGTGGTTGTGGTTTAAGTCGGGTTCATATGGATAAATCTGTCGAATGGTGTTATTTTTATCATATTTTATGATCGGTTATTGTTATCATGGACTCATGGTATCTTCGCATTGCATACCTCCATCCGAATGTTGTGCGTAACACCCATATTTCTAATTTCTAGTGAAAATTCTAACCTGGAATATTAAGTGCTCCCGGACGGTGAGCGTCCCGATGAACAGGTCGTTTTGTTGGACGTACGCAGAAACGGCCGTCAATAGTTTGCTGTTGACCGGTATGCCGTTGATGGATCTAAGTCCAGACTCAATCACGTTGTTGTTGCTCCTAAATGTCAACGAGTTCAACAAGGTCGTTTTTCCGGCGCCACTGGATCCCATCAGAGCCAATAGTTCGCCCGGTCGCGCCGAACCGCTCACTAAAATATCATACACATCAATACACTATAATATCATATTTAATTTTATAATAATAAATAACGAAAAAAATAAAATAATTAATATAACAGCATAAATGTATAATATGGATTTGGTGGTTGTATGTGATCTGTTATAGAGAGAGAAAGAGAGAGAGAGAGAGAGAGAGAGAAAGAGAGAAAGAAAGAGAGATAATGAGAGATGTCTCCCTGAACCAATTTTATATCGCATGATATAGTAATAATATGTTGACACTGGCCGACCATAAAACCTGCATCGTTAGATAGGTGTGATGTATATAGAGCGATGAGTATAATTCGTTATAATTATCATGGTTAGTATCGGCCGGCGGGTATCTCGTGAGTTACAAGACGTTTCGATGTTATCATAAAACAGTAATTGACTGTTAACTGTGTCGTTAAATTATAGTCATAATCATAAAAATAAATACCGAAAGCGTACGGATAACTATATTCTTGCCTACCCGATGCGGATAATATTATTTCAGTGAAGTTTTATATGTATAACTTATAAAGTTATAACTTACCATTGTTTAATAGTTGTTTTCTTTCAGTCTTGTTTTTCTGACGCCCCGTACAGCATGACGTAAGTGTATTGTAAAAGTTTTTGCTTTTGCCGTTTTTCGTGTGCACGTTAATGTTAGTCCACGTGTATGTGATGCTTTGTTGCTTGCTGGTACCCGTTCCGTTGGAATGTTCCTGAAAAAGACAGTTTTATTATAATTTATATTTTATCCAGATGTAAAAATAATCTCAGCTTAAAAAAATTTAAATATCGTGGTCTTATGGTTGCATACTAGTTGCGGACGAAATTCGACAGGTTATTATYATCTGTGACATCTCTAATAGTTTCAGGACACGTGTCTTGAATTAGTTAMATAATATTAATAATTTGTGTATATTTGCTTGAGGCCCTAAACGAAGTACGCGTTCTGGTCGTTGTAACTACCTTCATAAAACTGAATGCTTTGCTGCTGTACGAAATTCAAAACGATCAATTACCAAATGTCACATATTTTTGTGAGTAGTGAAATTATATTTGATAGCTATGAATCTATTCAGGCTGATTCTCGAACATTGTTGAAACAAAAATTTTAACTTAAATGAAACTATTATCGATTTTTATTGTGATGGAATTTATCATAATGTATATCCATTTAAAATCAGCAATACAATATTATTTCATCATCATAWTACGATACACCATTCTTTTTATATATTTCAAGTATATATTTCATCTAAATATTAATTARATTAAAAAGCAATCTTTATATCTAATAGAATTATGTATTCATTATTTAGTGTTACATTAYATTAAAATTAAACGGCTAAATTGCTTTTAAGAAAAATGATTATTAATAGCACTATTAGCACTATATTAATATTATAGCATATTTGATTTTTTTATTGGGAAGCCACGCACCCACTGATTTTTCGCAAGACGCGGTAACGATTTAAATCCAACCAATGTACTTGTCGATTAAGTATAATAAATTTGAGTACTCTAATTAGTAATCCAAGCAATTTCCATGTCACCACKACTCGCATGGTTTTTAATTACCTTGTCCGCAACTAAACACCGTTGCCGGCGTTACCTACCTAAATAATATCTCCATATATAGCGTGGAATCGAATCGAGTATTATCGATTAATTCTCTGATATACCTATCTCTCAGGACTTATACTAAAGTCCCGAAATACACTAACTTATACACATAGTTATTTAGTACTTATATCACAATATGATATACCATATACTATATAGGTACTAACTTTGTGGCTGTGTGTAGTGGTTACCTATATACAATAATAATTGTGACTAATTAGTAATTTCATAGTCCCGAGCCACTCCTGAAGCACAYWTACACGTATGTACATTTAGGTACTTAGTATTTATATTATGATATACCGAATACCAACTTTATTGCTACCAACGATTTAACGATTTTTCTGTAGTCAAAATTGCTAACGGGCATTACTTTTTGAATAATTCTCGTTCATTATAATAATACTTGATGATTATTAAATACACGCATTTATTTTTCAACTGTCTTAATATGTTCAACATATAATTGATATTCAAGAAAGAATTTAAAAAGAAAATTCGTTACGTGTCGATACGAATCGCTGGTATACCGCACGGCGCACGTTAAATTTTTTTGAACGTTTATTAAAACACTTAATTGAACTACGAGGTACCGAATATGCGTATCAATACACTCCAATATATTTCTTAAGAGGACGCCACACGCAGAGCCTGATTCACCAAATATGTGGTCCAGGAAAAAATAAGCGATTGGACCATTGGACCATATACATATACATATGTAATATATAAATTGGCTCATGTGTAATATTACATAGTCAGTGTTAGTCACCGGTGGGCCTCTTGACCACTTGGGCCCAGAACAAAAGTCTATTTTGTACGTTCGTAAATATGGCCCTGGCCACACGGGATTTCGTTTTCTCCRTCTTACAAACGTATAACTTGGAAAATTTTAAGCAAACAATAGTTCGTTTTACTCTATAATAATACCTACTAAAATTAGAGTGAATTTACCTCTTATAAGATTTAAAGGCAAGAATATAACTTTGGTGGATTTTATTGGTGTTATTATTTTTAAGAGAGCTATGATTGTTTTAAAATGTATAAAAAACAAAAACAGTTTAAAAATAGTCATAACTTACTTCAAAATAATAACATCAACACAATCCTCTGAGATGCTCTAGGTAACATTTTTGCCTTTAAATTTTATAAGAGATAAATTCAATTCAATTTATACAATTTTAAAAATTACAGTGTAAAATATATTATGGTGAACAAAATTTTACATGTTGTACGTTTCTAAGAYGGAAACAACAAATTCTGCGTGGCGTCCTCTTAAAGCCTTTCGACAAACGTTCGACTTAGATTTTAGTCTATTAATTAATATTTAACATTAATTTGTCCACAGACCTCAATTCATGTAGTATTATATCGGTCGACGGCTATCGGAGATTGGACAATTATTTGGAATTTTGGACCATACGTTATTGTTCATATTATTAAGGAAGTGGTATAAGAAAAATAATTATAATAGGTATATTATAATAATCATCATTATAAACCAAATTTTTAATATTTTATTAAATTGCTTTTMGATTTTAATGGTTTTGATGTGATTAAGATGTACATGTTAATTCGGTACATACACGTCATGTAATGATGATAACCTTAAAGTATCTATAATTATAATTATATATAAACGCATACGAAGTTATGCAACATCGGATCGGTTAACAAACACTGAAAATAATTACCATAACGCAACCGTTAAATGAACCTGATGATTCGTCTTTGGAAAGATATTTATAATCACATTCAGATTAATGTTTACATTTCGGTCAGTGGTCTGTGGTCACATATAATATTGTGTATATTATAAATTATAATATATTATACATTGTATAGATATTTTAAAATGTTCATTAGTAACGATTAGTATAGGTATTGACTTTAAAAAAAATATATTTTTAATTACAAACCTATATGTTATGTTACCAGGAACTATATTCAAGCAATCAGGTTATATTTCAAATATCTTCCTTCGTGATAAGTGAAAATCAATTTATATCTTTTATGTCGTTTCACCTTTCACAATAGAAATTAAATTTGCGATAGGCATTTATAGTGAATAATTATATGATAAATTTATTAAAATACAATCAATAAGGGTGTCTGCAAGAATTTTTAAGGGGGATGCGGTGCTGGGGTTGGAGTTATTATGGTAGCAACACATTTTTCATCTATTAGCAATCATATTACTGTACTGAAATTCATTSGACTCGTTTGACTATTTTTAAAAGGACGCTACACGGTATTTATTGTCTTYGTCTCACAAGTGCGTAACATGGCGCATTTACATTCAGCAGATCACGTTTAGCTTCGTTAACTTAAAAATTAGATTGAATCTACCTATTATGAAATTTGATGGTCATAATATCTGTGTTAGCATAAGGGCGTTAACAATGATARCTCAATTTCTTTGCAAGTTTTGCGTGTATAATATATTGAAAATTAAAAAGATTATAYAGTTCATTTAAAAAMTGTTTTATCGTAAAAATCCACATGTTAACCTGATAATTTTCTTACCATCTAGTTTCATAGATTGATTCACTTAAATTTTTAAACTAGTTTACCTCAAAAGTGATCTACTGATCATAAATTTGTGATGTTATACGCACTTGTAAAACGGAGAATAGTTTCATTACATAACACATATATTAATTTTCAACAATACTTAACATCCTTGTTTTTTTAATTATTGTTATTTAAAAATGTTTCAGCGCATCAGGTACTATTAAAAATACCTACATTTACAATTACAATTAAATGTTTACATTTACATTGATAATATTAATGATATTAGTTCATAGTTATATAAGTTTAATATTAATAGTACTTATTGGTTATTATAAAATCTTTGCTAAAAACCGTAATACTAATTAGAGCTTAAAAATAAAAACTTTAAGGATTCTAACACGATGAACTAATATACATACAATCTATATTGCCTAGTTTTTGCATAGTTTTATAATAAAGAAAATATTTGTGCATTTAATATTGATTTGGATACGATTTATATCGTAAATAGTAACAATGTTCTATTATTAATACCATTGAGCTATAACTTTAAGCAGTGAAAATTGCTGAGAAAAATCTAAGAGGGTAGGAAAGAGGGGTATTCACAGGTGCCCATGAACATMATATTCTGTAAATTAGTTATTACGTAGTATAGTGACGTAATTTGGAATTTGTACATGTTGCAGGTGGTGGGGGTGTTCATTTTCTTACCGTGCGCATATCTATTTTCAATATTAAGGAAATCCTATTTAAATATATTTTGTCGTGATGTCAGTACATCACTGATGTGGAATTCCTACAAGTTTCAATTAATAACTAAATAGGTATGTATACATTAATATTAAAAATACTTTGGTGGTCTATCCCCTAAATCCGTCTCATAATTACCACAC